AGAGGAGAGGAGAGGAGAGGAGAGGAGAGGAGAGGAGAGGAGAGGAGAGGAGAGGAGAGGAGAGGAGAGGAGAGGAGAGGAGAGGAGAGGATCAAAGTAAGTTTGAATAGTAAGAACTCAGAAAGGCAGGTCAACCTAACTGGATCCAAGATCCTGTGTTGGTATTGGCTCACAAGGACTACAGTATACAGCAGGAACTTGGGCAAGTGAAAGTACATTTCCAAAGGTAAAAACACTTTCCTAGGGGAAAGCCAGGTTTCTGACCTGTCTTCACTGGAATAAGAAAAGACATTAGGCATGGACAAGACAAAGGCATCTCTAACTAAAGGCAAATTTATTACACTAGCACTTGGGAGGATCACTTCACATTTGAAGCCAACCTCATTTATGTAGTAAGTTCTAGTCCAGCAGGAGCTTCCCAGTAAGACCATGTCACCATAAATAAACACCCATTTCTATCTATATTGACTACTTGACACTTTTTATAACCAAGATCTTCCTAGTGTTACTCATTATTAGTGTGGGGAGTGGAGTGTGTGTGTGTGTATGTGTGTGTGTGTGTACACATGCTCATGACTGCATACCATAATGCATTTATGGATGTCAGAAGACAATTTTCAGGGCCTGTTCTCACCTTTCACCATGGGTTTCAAGGATTGAATTTAGGATTTTAGGCTTGTGTGGCAAGAGCTTTAACCTGTTGAGCCATACACACACACACACACACACACACACACACACACACTCACATGCTTTTAGCTTAGGCTAGCTTCCTGAGTGCTCAGATGATAGATTATGCCACTATAGCAAGCCTCACAATTTTTTTTGTTTTAATTATATTATTACATTTGCTTACATATTTTGTGTGTTGTGGGGCATACCTTTCTCAGTGTGCACATGTGAAGGTCAGAGTACAGCTTGGAGCAGTTAATTCTTTCCTCCTACCATTTATGTCCTGGGAGTTGACCTCAGGTTTGGCACTAAATCCTTTTATCCACTGAGCTATCTCACTGACTATATCACAGTTCATTTTAATACCCAAATTGTTTTAATTTTATTAAGTGACATTATTTATAGCAGATGTAGCTTCTGATTGGTAAGTAGTATCTGGACTGATAGTCTACAAAGCTATAAATTATTGATGCAACCATAACTTCTGGTTTCTTTTAGCATGATGACTGCTACTCTGGTTTCTCATGTGAGAAGCCCTGGAAAATCAAGGCTCTCAGATGATTATAAAGCCCACTTGCTTCTTTGAGGTATGAGGCTGCACACCTAGGCTAGGTTCCATGCTTGTCTGGTGTGAATGCTGTTCTCTTAGACCTAAAGCATCCCTGAAAGACTACCAAGAATAGCTGCAGTACGGCTGTTTGGACTCTTCTGTGATTTGCTATCAGAATTCTTGTGAAAGAAAGCACAAAATGCTTGATAGCAAGTGGTAATTCTGTTCTCTATCTCTTTCAGCTGACGTACAAGCAATATAGGTAGATTTATGGATCAGAGGGTTTCATTAAATCCATGAAGATATCTTAATGAGAACTGAATTATTTTTAAAAAACTACCAAGGGCAATATACTATTTATCATCTCTATTCTTTGTACCCCATCCCTACCCATTTGTCTGACATATCCTTCTTAAGAGTTCTCAAAAAGTTAATATTTTTTTTACACGAAGATACAAATGCACATGCATAAAGGTATGCTGTCTATATCCATAGCTTAATTTTATCATTGGGTAATACCCTAAAAATTACTCCAATTAATCAGAGTCCTTTACTTATCATCATCATCATTAATTATTACTCTGGTTTCTTGAGACAGGGTTTCTCTGTCTGGCCCTGGCTATCCTAGAACTCTCTGTAGACCAGCTACTCACAGCCTCTTCCTCCTGAGTCTGGGATTAAAGACACGAGCCACTACTGCAGGGCTAGAGTACTTCATTTTAAAAATTTGGTGTTTGGGAGCTAGTGAGAAGGATTTGTGTGCAAAAGGACTTGCTTCAAAACTTGATGACCTAAGTTAGATCGCTGGGACCTATGTGGTCATAGGAGGGAACTGACACCAGAAAGTTTCTTTTGATTTCCACACACAAAATAAATAAATGTAACAAAAATTAATTTAGTGCTTCACTGTGTAAACATATTGAAGCTCACAGAACTAATTCCCCGTGAATGTACTTATAAATAGTTCCAGAAGCTTTGCATGCTAAGGTTTACATATAGCCCCAGTTAACAGAGAGCCTAAGGTAAGGTAAGGAGGATCCCTTGAACTATTTGAGGCCAGTTCGATCAACACAGTGACACTGTGACACTAGAAGGCAGGAGATGTCAGGGGCAGCCCTGCTTACACACTGAAGGCCTAAAATCAACCATAGGCCTAAAATCAGGAATAGACCTGTCATACATGTATACTAACACCAAGTCTTGGGTCTCTGTGGATAAACATTAAAACAGATGGCTATAAGCTATGGTAAACAGGCAGCTTTTGTGGAAATTTACAAGCCTGAGTAGCCATAGACCTTGTAAATAGGTAGCCTTGGCAGACAATACCAACTTAGATAAGGACAAGTGAATCATAGACAGAGTCATAGTGATCTGTCCCCTGAACCTTCACCCAGCCGGTACCATGTTCTGAAAGATATCTGTACTCCCCCTGAACACCCACACTCCAGTGTCATCCCCTTCCCCACATCCTGCCTTTTTGTGTTTATAACCCCTGTGTTAATAAGTATAAATTACAATTTGAAAAAAATAAAAATATATATATATATATATATATATATATATATATATATATATATATATGAAAAATGAAAACTAAGGTGTCTCAGGTAGTGGGAGGGATGGAGATGCTCAGGATACATTAATATGCAAGTATGGAATTTTTCAGCAAATAAAAATGTTTTTTAAAAAATATATAACAAATAACTCAGTGTTTGTGGAAGGATAATATTAGAATAAATTCTCCTCTCTCTCCCTAACTCTTCCTCACTCTGTGGCCATCCCCCTACTCCGTAGGACCTGGACTCACACCAGAGTAGACCAGCCCCTAACTCGCAATCTTTCTGTTTCAGGCTCCAAAATGCTTGGATTACAAGTGTGTGCCATTCACTATGCTTTACAAGGCTCCGCATATTTTCTTTTTTTATTTGCACCTTAGGCATCCCTTAGCTTTCGTGCCAAAATCTCGGTAACAATTTGTGGTAGCTGAGTTATTTTTTGTCGCATACTTGCTTAGATTGTGGTTAGATATGTTCACTTGAAAACACACCACAGAATACTAAAAATCTTTCGGTTGGAGTGGCGGTTTGCCCCTCCCCCTCCCCCAGGTCCAAGGACGGTTAAAGGCTGCGCGGACAGCCCCGCCTCGTGACGTAACCAGAGGGCTAAACCAAACTGAGCTAGTTAAGAGTCCCCTCATTTCTCCTTTCGGGGTTGTCTCCCTAAAATATAGGCTTTTTTGAGCGCGCCCCAGCTCACATCTTTTTTAGATAAAAAGACACTGTGAAAGCCTCAGGTTAAGCATCCGCATCGCTGCAGGAGCGCAGGCGCGGACTCCGCCCACAGACACGCCCCCTCTCCTTCGCGGTGGTATCGCCCGGCCTCAGCCGCGGCCTACAAATGAAGCCTGCACGCGGGAAAGGCGGAGCTGCGCCGCGCTGACGCCTCATCTTCCCGCCTCCAAGTGGGCCGGGCGCGCTTGGTTTAGGCTTCTGAGTGCTGACTGGTAACAAACAGCTGGGCCCTGAAAGCGGAGCGCGGTTAAGGGGGTGGTTTAGGGTAGCCATTCGCGGCGTCCCGCCACTGTGAGGATTATGTCAGAAAACAAGGCCTTCCCCTCAGGCAGGGGCGTCCTGCGTGGCCGAGGTAGCCGGGGCCGTGAGGTGGATTGGGCCCCCGGAACCCGGGGTGCCAGTTCCCAGACCCACGTGGAGACGTCCCGTGTGGGGAGTATCTCTAGCAGCTCGTTCGAGTCCTCCCCCTCTCAGCGGCAGACCGCCTCCCAACCCTTTTCCTCCACTCAGGCGAACGAGTCCATTCAGGAGCCGGGGGGTCCCTCCTTGAGCCCTACCAACCTCCCTCAGAGCCTCAATGATAATTTTGTCCAGAGGAGTGACCAGGGCGTTCAGGTTCCCACAGTTGCCTCAGACTCCACAGTCCTAAGCTCTTACTCTCAGCACTTAGGATCCATCCCAGTGCCAGACTCATCCCGATCTGGGCCAAGGTACTCGTTGGTTTCTGGGCAAGTGTCCTCGATGGCTTCTATACTTGGTACTTCTGTCGAGTCAGAGCTAGGGTCTGTCTCTGCTTCACCGATCAGCACTCCCCTGGGGTCAGCAGTGGAACCCACTCAATCCCTTCCATCCGTATTGTCTAGCCCCTCCTGGGGATTGGCAGTAGAACATCCTATACAGAGTAGCACATCCCTGCCCTCCTTCCAACTGCCAGACACACCAGACAACACCCCACTAGAATCGGCAGAAGACTCCCCCAGGCATTCTATGTCAGTCTCTGCTTGGCTATCAACATCAACACTTTCTGCTCCCTGTGTCGGTGCCCAGCTGCCTCTGCCACTCGATAGCTCAGTACCCATGTCCTCATCTCCACTGTATGATCTCCAAGGTTTGATGCAAGGTCCCCCTCCTTTTCATCCCTCTCCAGTGCCTATGTTAGGGCCATCCCTGCCCTGCGTATGGGGCTCTCCCTGGGTATCTCAGCAAGGATCAGCTCCGCCCCTGAGTGCTCCCCTAACAGTTACACTACAACGCGCTCCGCCTTCAGAGCTCAGCTCCCCCCCATTATGGGTAGATACATCAGCTCCGCCCTCGGATTCCAGTCAATGGGCGGTACAAGGGTCTGTTCCACCCTGGGCGGTCCCCCCTTTTAAACTCGAGTCTCGGGAGAATTTCACCCAAACCATGACGGATCTGGAGAAGCTCAGTATCTCAGGCCACATGTTCGACGTAGTCGTGATTGGAGGCGGCATCTCAGGTCAGTTTGGATCTTTAATAGTAGCATGAGGGGACCCTGGCTGACCAGGGGTAGGGAACTTGAAATGTCCCTGTTATGTTTGGGAGGGTCTTTCTCCTACATATGAGAGTGTTAACTATGGCAGGGCCCCAGATCCTGCCAGATGGGAGCAGAGGCTTGTCCCTTTGCTGGTGATATGCACTGGTGGAGGGAGGAAAAATAATTTGACTCCTAACTACTAAATACTAATGAGTAATTAGCTCTTTTTTTAAATTTCATTTAGCACATCATATGAGTTTCCTCTGTCCTCAACAGTCTTGTGGGTGGGCAACACTTTTGCTATTTTACAAAACCAAGCAACTGTGGCTTGAGAGTTTCAGTAACTGTCCTGAAGTCTGAACACCTCCCTGGGAAGCTGCAGACCTATAGAATTGGAAGTGAAGGTCTTAAATGGTAGAAAACTGGTCAAATCCTTCAAATTAGCCAATGTATGTCTGTATTACTGAAGTAGTGGTAGGATTAGTTCAGTTCTGTTCTTCTCTAAAGCACCATTCCTTAGAAAAGTGAGTAGGTAAAAATACAGAGACAGAATCTTTTAGAAAAAGGTAATTTCTTTTAAAGAGCTGGAAATTTCAACCTATTCCTGCTTGATTTTTTTCAGAACTTATAAAAAAATGTAGAGTATTAATTGCCTCAAGGGAATCTCTTCATAAAGCCAGAGCTGAGGGCAGGCAGGTCAGGGAGTGCCTTGTATGCTCTTGCTGAGAGCTGCACTGTCTACATCTTGTCCAGTGATCCTGGCTTAAATGGCTCATCAAGTAAGGGGTCCATAAGCTATTTTCTCTATTTTTCCTGGAGACCTCACAAATATTTGTATATTAAATTGCCCCTCATATTGCTATTGGAAAAACTTAGGAATTAGGCTTTTCCTCTAGGTAGAAGTTCAAGCCCTTTCTCTCAAGTGTTAATAATTTCAGAGATATGTGTGCAAGATATAATTTAGAGGGAGAAAGACAGTAGGAAGGAGTAAATAGGGTGCCCCCATGGTATCCATTTTAATGTATGCTCCCTTTGAGTAGACCATAAATGTGCTTGTATATTAATTTTAGATATAGGTAGCTTTGAACTCATTCTGTTCAAGATAAACAGTCTAATCACCAGATTGGTATGGACTGTTGCTTTGGCTCATCCTAGCCAGTGGTGGCAACTATAGGCCTGTGTGCTGCAGTATCAGAGGGAAGCAGATCCTGGTGGAGAATAAGAAAAGGGAACATTTATCCATCCTTCCTTCCTCCTTCCTTCCTTCCTTCCTTCCTTCCTTCCTCACTTGTTGAGTGCCTACAGTTTAGTGGATTGGTGTTTTAAAAAATCTGGTTCCTTTAGGCAAGTACCCTAGAAGCAATGTGGTTGTTGATCACTGAAATAGAAATATGAAGATAATATGTAGTATACATTGATTAACACTATACCACAATTTTTTGTTTTGCTGGGATTTTATTCTTGTCCTTTTCTTGGTTTGTCCCCAGTGTTCCTTAAAGAAAGCGTTGTCTTTTAAATTGTTTTTGATGTTTGGTTGTAAGTTTAGCCTTTAATAGCTGAATTATTTCTCCAGCCTGCCTTTTTAAAATTTTTATGAGACAGTGTCTCATGAATCTCAGGCTGGCATCCACTTTAACATATGGCCAAGGACGAACTTTGATTTTTGATTCTCCAGCACCCACCTGCCAAGTGCTCAGATTGCAGATGTGGGATACTATGCCTGCTTTATGTAGTACTGGTTATCAATGCCAGGGCTTCTTTATGCATGATAGACAAACACTATCAAATGAGCTATATCCCCAGGCACATCTTTTGTTTTTCTTTTGCCTAATTGCTTGGTCTTTCTCCCTTTTCATACTTGACTGTTCATATTTAGTCATCAGCAGAAGTGTATTTAGCATGTAGCTGATGAACCTTAAAACTTGAGGTCGCTTCTGATTCTCATTCCACATAACTAACTTTATACTGAGTCATGTAATAATTTTGCTTTGTTCTTTTGTTTTCTGGTGGTGGTAGGTTGAGACAGGGTCTCATATAGCATAGGCTGGACTTGAACTTCCTGTGTAGCTAGAATGGCTTTGGGCTTCTAATCCTCCTGCCTACACCTCACCAAGTGCTGGGGTTATACTTGTGTGCTACAATACCTGGTTTATTGATTTCCTATTTCTTAAAGAGAGCATCCAAATTATATGAAGCTCCACAAAAATATCTGTGTCTATTCTTGGGAATTATTAGTACATTTCATGGGTGGGGGGCTGCAGAGAAAACATTTTTTTTTTTTGCTCAGTAGTTTACATGCCTATTTAGTCCAGACACCAACATTCAGTTTGCCAGCAATAGTGGAACTTGGCCTTAGTGTCATTTCTACCAGTCAGTTGTCATCCAAAATGAGTTATTACTAACATAGATCTGGATGCCTGTGTGACTTAGGTATTAGATACAGGCTTTATGTTTCATAAATAGGCAAGAACATTCTGGTGAACTCTACATGTCTCTTTGTGTGGGCTAGTCATATCTTATGGTATGAATCCCATGATATAGTCTGTCAGTTAGTTTGTTTTGCTGAAGGTCTGATGTTACTCAGGCTGGCTTCAACATTTTGTATTTACCATGTAGTTGAGGCTGCCATGAACTCCTGATCCTCTTGCTTCCATTTCCCAAGTGCTAGAGTTAAAGGTATTACTATCTTTCCAAGTTCCTGAATCAAGTTTACATATTCATTGAAGCAGAGTTAGAGGATATATTTTTTTAAAAAAATGATATGATTATTAACATGGATTTTAAGCGAAGAGTTAAAAATCCTGAGTAAAAAAAACTTTTCTTTTTCAAATGATCAAATGAACTTTTGGATAGATCTGATATTGAATGATCAGTTTTAACATTTAATCAGTGCTAGTTGATTTCAATTTGTATATAACTCTCAGCTAATGTGATAAATGTTTTTTATAAGACTATATCTAAACATAATACAATTACATGGACCACAGAGACCAAGTATGGAGAAAAGGAATGCCATAATACATTATTGATGAATATTGTACCCCATAATCTTTGTAGTTGTGGTTGAGTGATGTTTTAATGTGAAAAATCTTACAGTAATTGGATTCAGCTGTAGCCAGAAATCGTGAGGATTTATTGTAGCTTTCTTTCACATAGTGGAACTTATAAAACTGTAAAACCTCATGATTTAAAACTGTATACACTTTATAAGTATTTGCCTAGCAAATATGCATGCATGTTTGAGATGCATATATGTTATAAGTTTATTAAGACTGGATGATTGGAACTTTATAAAAATATATTACATTTTTCTAAATGTTATGAGCATTTTAGATTAGTTGATTGTTTAGGCCATTTTACCTATTTATGGATTGTAACAAATGTGTATTTTTAAGCAGCTATTTGTGTTTTTCTTTAGGTAACACAGTCCTTATTATATTATCATCTAGCATTGTGAGTTAGGGAAATTTAAAGTCTTTTAATTGTGATTTTGTTATTTAGTAACTGGATTAAATGGGAGTGTAGCTCAGCAATGAAGTACACATACCTGCTATAGGCAAAGCTGTGGATTCAATCATGAGTACTGCAAAAAAGGAGGTGGCAAGGGATGTAGCTCAGTTGACACAGAGATTGACAATATGCCTGAAGCTTAGGTTTGGTCTCCAGCACTGCATAGACCAGTCATGGTATCATACACCTGTAATTTGACTCAGGAGTTAAAAGCAGGAGGATCAGATGTTCAGGGTCCTATCCATCCATTTAATATGATTGAGGCCATCCTGGGATACATGAGATGCTAGAAATGAGATCTCAAGAAAAAAAAAAGAGGTTAGATTACATGTGATATGTCTTCTATATATATTCAGTATTTTTTTTCTTTTTTCCTTTGTGGTAGTTAATCAGCTTCATAAAGGTTTTCATCTTTGAGTTTACTTTGGCATCATCCCTCAGCACTGTTTTCTTCCATGCTTTATTCTGGAATTTGTTTGCATTATCTTTTATACTGACACCCTATAGGAGCTTAAATCAGTTCCCAGGTCTCTTCGCAGATGTGCATTCACATTTCCCCATGGCTTCTCTGAGTTGTTTAAAAGCACTTCTCCAGTAGGTAAGCCAAAGTAAACAAAACTCCACTTATTACAATATTTGATTGAGCAGGGCACAAGTGTCAATAAGAGGTTAAACAAGGTGATTAACTTTGAGTGTTTATTGGATATTAACTGTGTCCGAGGGTCTTAATAACTGCTCATAAGATTTCAAAAGGACCAAAATGGAAGCTTAGAAAGGTGGATGAATTATCAAATGTCACTGGCATAACTAGATCTTTGATCATCCTTTTTTTTTTAGCCCTTTGATCCTTAAAAATATTTCCAGGACAGTCCTTTTCTATTCCCTATCTCACTAGTTTGCTTTGAAGGCTTATCCATGGATCTGTAGTAACCTTTGTAACTTACTTTGAGGCTTGGTGCACTAAAACCTAGTGCTGTTATCTGATAGTTATTTACACATGTGACTATATTGCAGTGCTGTTGCTTCATGGACAGTTCCATTGAAAAAATGTGGGATATTCTATTAGGTTTGACAACGTTCATGTGACAAACAATTTGCTTTTAAATGTTTATTATTATTGTGGGTATGGTGTGTGTATGTGTGTGTGTGATTGTGGCTATACAAGCACAGATGTGCTGTTTTCCTCTTCCACCTTTATGTGGGTTCTTTGGGTTGAGCTCAGATAACCAGGCCTGTACAGCAAGTACCTTTACTGACTGAGCCATCTAGCAAGCCCATATGTACTTTTTTTGTTTTTGTTTTTCGAGACAGGGTTTCTCTGTGTAGTCCTGGCTGTCCTGGAACTCACTCTGTAGACCAGGCTGGCCTCGAAGTCAGAAATCCACCTGCCTCTGCCTCCCAAGTGCTGGGATTAAAGGCGTGCGCCACCTCCGCCCGGCCCATATGTACTTTTATTTATTTTGTTTTGTAAA